TGATATTAGCATCATGTGATTGGAAAGAATTTACGTATGTTCCGGATTTAACATTTACACTGTGACAAGAGTGAAAAATACCCGCAAACCTTACAAAACATACTTATTTTGGTCCAGTATACGTCAGGCGTGTTCATTAGAACACTGGCTCTGGGACAGTATTTTGTACGTGTGTCAGCACAGATCAAAAGGGGGTGGAAGGATGGCTTGACTTTTTTTTTTTTCCCTCCCTAGCAGAGCACATACAAGTGGACAAAATTGGTGGCAGCCCACTGTCAATTAAATAAAAAATAATGACAAAAGAAAGAAAGACAAAAAGACTAAATGACAATTTAAGTAAAATTAACCACTGACAATCAAATATTGCTTTTGAAATGTGATTAAACAGAATTACATTACGTTTCAAAGAAACAAACACATGGGGCAGGCTTGGACAAAAATGATAGCTCCCCCATAGAAGATTGAAAATAATTTGACTTCATATGTTCAACCAAGGCCTGTCCTCTAACATCACAGGTGCCTCCAAATAATGTAATAAGTCAGTCGGCCCACTTAAAGGGTGACAAGTAGGAATGGTGCTGTCTTGGTGACATGGTGGGCGTCACACTTAACATGCACTGGTGGAAGCGAAGGAGAGAGTTGTCTCAAGAGAAGAAAATTATCGACAAGCATGTTAAAGATAAAGGCTTTGAGACTATCTCCAAGCAGCTTGATGTTCCTCTGACCACAGTTGCAGACCTTCTGAACTGGTGCCAACCTTCCTGGGCGTGGCCACAGGAGGAAAATTGATGACAAATTTGAGGTAGGGATAACAGAATAGCCCTGAAGAGCATCCAAATAAATTAAGCATGCACTCCAAGGTCTAGGTTCAACAGTGTCAGATCACACCATCCGTCTTTGAAACACAATTCATAGGAGACAACCCAAGAGGACACAACTCGGTCTATTCTGTAATTTCACCTGAAAGCAGAATATTGCTAAAGTTTATCGAATAGTTGGGTTTGTCTGGACTTCATCAAAAGAAAAAGGAGGATGTGCAATTTGTGCCCATGTTGTGATCTATTAATCGCACACAACATAGCACAGCCACCTTATGCTGTGTTTTCTATGCTATTGTTAATTTATTATATTTATTCTACAAATATATTGCTAATGCTATATTTTATATTGCAATTTTATTGAACTGTGTACAGTTCTTTCTGAAACATTTATTTTGTGCAATGAAACATTTTGGGTTTTTTTTTTTCTTCCACCCCAATTTTGCTGCTGTGGACTGCAAATTTCCACAGTGTGGGACAAATAAAGGTTATCTCATCTTATCTTATCTTATCTAATGGGCTGATATTCTCTTTGAACCCTGTAAAGCACTTTTTGAGTTCTTTCTGTAAGAAGTGCATCATAAGTAATGACCAACTATTCATTCAGGTTAATGAGGTCTGGGGAATATTTGAGGGGTCACGACCTAGAAAATCGCACTGAAATCAGAACATAATCTGCATACCCACATTTCCCAAACTCTGCAGTTATATTATTTTTTTGGAACGTAGCGCTGAACCATTTCAGAGGGGGAATGTGTGCTTGCACTTATATGCCCGTGCATGCGCGCCTGTGCCATGTCACACTTTCCCTACAAGGGTAAAACAGGAATAACTAGAGCTGGGAGATTCATTTCAAGCCATGAGCTCATGAGAGCCGAGCCGTCAGATTACACCACTGCATTGCCACCATTGATGGGATTTGTTGCCCAGCAGCTGCAAGGACACCAACACACTGTTAAAATTCACTACATCTCATGGAGGGATGGGAAAAAAATATTTGAGGAACTCAACATGTTCGGGATGTAGCTGCTCTGTATATTTGCGAGTTCAGCTACGAGGTTTAAGGCACGGTGGTACATGGTTGAGAGAAACACCACTGGCTTGATTACACAATGCAAGCCGGTGACATCGCGACTCCCACGTGCATGTCACTCCAAGGCCGCCTGTGTCGTTCAGCAACTTGATCATGAGCCTGTTTATACATTACATACTGACAACCGCTGCTCTTTCTTAAACATTGGGTGTAGATCCCCCTCATAAGATGCTCAGCCACATCTTATTTCAAATTTATGAAATACAGAATAGCGAGTTCTATTCCTCCAAAGCTGCTCCATTCCCTCAAATGTAAGCAGGTTTATGACAATATTGGCTGGGAAGCAAACACAAGTGGCCGACAGAGCCAGATCAATGGAAAACAAACAAACTTGAGCTGCAAGCAGCTATAAAGTACGTCTTGTTACATGTCCCTCCAACTCTTGGTAGATATTGGTAAAATGTTCAACCGAGGCTGTTTCGTTAAAAATTGTTGAGGGTGCAACTAAGCTATTTGGATTTTTTTTTTGTTTTTTTAACTGCAAAATGAACTCATGAAAGAGTGATTACTTGGCCAAGAGTGTCATGTGTGTGAAAAGTTTCAAATGTTTTCATGTCATTTTTCTTGGCGAACAAGTGCGTCACCATGGCAACAATGTTGAATGAAATAACATTTTTTGTTGATCTTTTTGAAACATACAATCGGGGCTGGTTCATTAAAAAATTCCAAGGGTCGCGACTGAGTCATTTTGTAACAACGGCACAATTTCCCACAGTTTCAAGACAAGCGGATACAATCTCTCTGTGTTTTGGGGTTTTTTTTTGTGAACTTTGTTTGAACTTTTAAAAGGCCAAAAATGGATCCAAATTCATAGGAAAGTGGCAAACTTTCTGTTAGCTTTAGCATATGGCTCAATGGGCTGTTAGATATACCTCCAAAATTTCATCGATCTTCATGACATACGTACAACCAGGGCTGCTCTGCCTCAAAAAAATTGTACGGGGCCTTGTCAAATGCGTGCCCTGGCAACAGCTTTTCACACAAATCCACAAACTTCGTGTTGCAACTACATGAAATAATAACAACAAAAATTATAATAATTCTAATAATCATAATAATAATAGTAATAATAATACTTTTGACAAGAACAATAGAGACCTCGCAACAATCATTGCTCGGGGCCTAAAAAAATCAGCAAGGGCTACCATCCCTCTAATAATGCTACAAGCAAGGTCATATTTCAAGAGTAGTTGATACATGCTCTCAGTCTTGTAAGCTATAATATGTAACCCATTACATGCCGAAGTAAATGGTCAACAGTCAAGGTGTTCAGTAATCAGACCCTCAACGCGAGTGTGACATAAATGGGGAAAAAAAAATCATAAAAAAACATTAATAAAAAATAAAGTCATCCCCATTCATCGGTCTCTCCTGTTCTCTTCAGTTGCCTCCATGCGGCTGATGCTAAAAAATGACAATGTAATTTCTGCTCCATTTATTTCCCATGCCGTGGCCAAGCGTTCTAATTCATTGGTTGAGTCCGTGCAGACTCCCCGCCCTTGCCTCCCATGCTGAGCTAATATTGTACTTAAATCTCATGCTCCGATTGTCCTGGACCAATCCTGTATAGTACAATTTGAAAGGCCGCGTAATTATAATGGCACCCTGTGTCCACACAGATCACCCTTTGAACTGCTCAAATGTTTACAGCGGAAGAGGGCCAAATATAAAACAACCCCATCTCTAACCCACCAGCCAGGCATGCGCACTGTACTGAAGACAGTCGACACACATATGACCACAAGTAGTGCAGTGACCTCTCAACCCAGAAATAATTGTACTACTTTCTGTGACCTTTCTATTCATATGTTAAGCACACTAGCATACAGGTACTATCCAACGCACACCCACACACTCTTTCAAAATATACAGTAATCAATTCATTTTAATAATTACATCGTTTAATAATGAAAACACAAAAGTAATTAACACACCTTGATGGCTTGGTGAAGTGTGATTGGTTGACTGTTGGAAGCCCGGGCCAATGAGGTTCGCCTGTCTGTGATTGGTGGACCGATCTATATTGTCCTGCTGATGGAGACAAAAATCAGGGCAGAAAGGCAAAGTTAGATCAAAAGGGATTTCATTAAGACAGTGAAACACTCAACAGCGGCCTGCATCTTTCAGAAAACATCAGCCATAATTAAAATATGCTTTAAAAACAAAGTATATCAGAGTATTAGGGATATAATGATGAACAGATCATACTTGGTACTTTGCAAAGTACAAAGCCACAGATTAACAAGACTAAAACGGTAGTGTAGTTACAAAAAAAAAACAGGCAGACTATTTGATAATGGAAATAGTTATTAAAATTACTTAATTGATATATTTCATTTGACGTAAAATACCCGAAAAAAGTAACAAAGCAGAACTTCAATCTCTCTTATTTTTTTGGTCATGTTACAGCTCTTCTCAGTTTCTTTTTTTCTCCAAATGTTCCTTTTTTTTCTTTGCAGCACACCCTTAATATCTCTGTACTATTGAGTCTATGATCACACATGGTCTTTTTGTTCCTGTCTGCCACTATCAAATGTACAAGTGCAAGGTGCAACTGAATAATGCACAATCGATCCACTTCATTTAAGAGAACTGTCCTCTGGCAAGTCCAAATAGTGCCAATATACAGGGAAATCATCAAAATCATTCACAAAATCTGTTGATGGGAACACAGGCTTTATGAAAAAATATATAAAGATAGGTAAAACGACAAATCAATATAGTATGTCAAGAAAAACAATCCAAAACATGTATAGGTACTCACAGAAACTTTGGATCATCGAACAATATTTTGTTCGGTAAATACATTCCAAGCATTTCAAACACTGCTTCATCTCAGACACTGAATGTGAACAAGTATTATTTATTTCTTGAAGCACGACTGAAATACAGGATGAAGGAAAGAATTTATGGACTTAATTTGGATTTGTTTTTAATATAACCACACCAGGGAGAGCCCCATTGATTGGGAATGCATTTACTGTTTAGACAGGACCTAACAAGAGAAGGAACGGAATGTCCCTGGACTGAAGGCTGATGATGGCAGAGACCGTCTGCCTTCCAAAGCACACCTCCTCCAAAACTACAGCTTCGTAAATGCAAGCCTGTCAATTTCTGCTGGTCCCAATGAGAGAATAAATGGAACATTTCCACAAGACAATATAGCCCATGAGATAATTAAGACCCCCAGTCATGTTTTTAATCACAATGAAGCAGACTCAGGTCGTACAAGTCTTAGAAGGCAAACGCTATTATTAGTCAGTCTGCCGGCTTCTGGTAAGGTGCCACAGTATAAAGTACAGTGTATCCTTATTCAAAGAATCAGGCTCCTTTGACCTATGCTTTGTCCCTGTGGAATGCACGCAGAGTACAAGATCCCATTGCTCACAGAAGGACTTGAATATTTTTGGACAGACTTTATGTTGTACTTCCTTGCGGTGGACTTCACGTTACATTTCAAGTAATGTTGAATTGAGACGAATATTACTTAATGAGCAATGAATAGAATGCAGGAGAATGGGTCCAAGTGGGTCTCTTTGTGACAGTCTGCTTCTTCCTTGACATTCACACCATGTAGTTTGTGGTGTAAAAAATATATACAGTCTAATATACTGTATTTGTAGCCTAGAAATCCGAAAAAGGGTCAGAGTTTTTTCGTTGCAGCACATCATAAGGGTCACCACGCCTGTATAACAAAGTTGTTCGCAGCCCGCAAGGTGGCGCTCACAGCCCACACTTGGGCCCCAAGGTTAAGAATCACAGGTATCAGTGAAATACTGAGATCAAGCCCTGAGTACTGCATATTTGCTAATTTAAGAGTATATCTTCGACTCCATGGGTTTCCCACACTTGAAAATGGAGGGATTTGAAATTTTGGTATGGATTCAGGATGTCACTCTGTTTGTGGATTTATTGTCCAGAAACAAGAAGGTGAAAAACCGGTAGGCTCTTTGATCTTTGCCTTTTTCCCCATGCGTTTGAGTTCAATGATTCGGTATGCAATTTTACTGTCCTGCTACGATTAGCTGCTCTGCAAAGACACTGAACAAAGTTCATACGGGGGAAAAAAAAAACAGAAATGGGCTTTCAACAATAGTTTAATTGCTGACTAAAGGGAGGGTGTCGATCAACATTTGTGTTCTCAACACTCGCTCACCCTTCATACCTTGTTTCGACATCAAAAGGCCTCCTTGAAGTGCTTCAGTATCAACAAATACACGACACAAGATCTTTCTGCCTGCCCTCCAGGGTGTCTGGTTATTTAAAAAAAAAAAATGGAGGAAGAACACCATAAATGCCAGTAAGGAAAAGAGCAAATGTCGTCCTTTCAGGCTGGTTTACCTCCAGCCATCCAGCGTTGGGATTGGACTGCAAGAGCCATCTTTGCACTCACAACCATTAATGAGAAAAGAACTCCTGGCCGTCTTCGCCGTGTTCGAGCAACATCACCGAACAACCCGACCGTAGCCAATCATTTGTCTCAACTTTAAGCTCCGTTGGTCAGACTGAAAGTATCGTAATGAGACTAGCATCATCGTGATGTAAAATGATAATGAAAGTCAACGGTGCCTCACCCAAATTGCGAGTCCAAATAGTCGAAATCACCATTATCGACACACACTGCCTGTCGGTCCAGCTACCAGACTGTGACTGATTCCTTACCCTGCCATCCAAGCAGCTCTACAACAATGTTTGCCCGGTGATGCTAAAGCACAAATTCTAAAAGTGAGTGCATTCAACTCATGGTTCAACTCCACTGAGCAAAACTAACGACTCTTTCGCACCATATACTGGGCTTTCGTGTAGCTCTTGTCTTTAAACAAGTGTTTGCAATGTAAAGTAATAAAATTCAAGTGTAATGACAAGAAGTCATCGAACATGATTGTTAATCTTTAGTCCCAACTTATCATACTGTCGATCCATTTCTCAAGTCGAGGAAGCAGGGTGTGACATGAAGCCTTTTTGGATGGTGGCCCTGCACCTCGCACGTGTACATTTGATTGTGACAGACAGTAACAAAGAGGCCATGTGTGATCATACACTCGATAGTATAAGGAGATATTTAGGGTGTGCTGCAAAGAAAAAAACAACTTATGCTAGTTGTGGTGGCCCTGCCAGAACCAGCACTGGCCCGTCTTACTATACTTATTGAAATTCATAATTACACACAGGATGTTGGCCTCCCATTCCACGAAGCAGAAAATTGTTTGGCCAAAATGCACGCAAGTATGTAGCGTCAGTTGGCGATGAAGGCAGTCCCTTAAAAGAAATATCCATATTTGCCACTTCCAATTAAATAAATAGTGATTTCAAAGAATACTTAACATTTTGAATTTCTAAAACCAATCTAAAATGTTGTAAAGATGTTTTGCCACTTGTTTAAAAAGTGGTCCAGCCGTGCAAACGCCTGTTTCATGGTTGAAACACGATCCAATGTAAATGGCTCATGCTTTGTTTATTATAGGCTTTGTCTCTGCATTTCCATAAAAGTTATTGAGTTTGGATTCAAAAGTTGAAACATTTTGTATAAATGTATACAGAATCTGATCATTTATTTACACGGGCCTGTTGCCATCTTCTCAGTTATCTCCGCTCTTGAGAGTTTTGTTTTTGTTTTTTTTTTCCCCCCAGCTCAACTCAAGACGTTCCGAACTTGAATACAAGATATGCAAAACGGCTGCATCTCCCATTGTGCCCCACAGCGCTCTGTCAATTTTCACAGAGATATGGGGAGCGTGGGGGGGGGGGGGATGCAACAAATATATTTCATCGTTTTCAACCTCATTCAGTCATTTTAAACCCAACCTGAGAACGTGTTTGACAAGTCAAACCCATTAAAACCTCATACACACACTTATTTTAATTTGTATTGAAATTCCGAAAATATTTTTCTGTTGAATGACTTCAATGTACTAAGTTTATTTTCATTTTGGTCTGAAATTACTGGATAATGAGGTGGGATCAATTTCATAAACTGTCTGGGTTTTCCGATCTCATCTGCACAATTATGTCCTGTAGTCTGGTTATTATTTTGTTTTGTGGACTTTGAACAATATTGAATGAGGGGAAAACCCCTTAACTAAAAGCAAGAGAACATCTCACAATGACGGAACAATCAATCTCGCAATTTACCGGATAATTGGGATGATGCAGGAAGTAATCAGGACATCCAGCCACAGCCATGTTTTTGAGTTGTTCACTTCTTTTGTATAACCTATTCGGTTGGATCAGTCCAGCTGGAAGACGAACCTGCAGAAAAAAAAAATGTTCACATTAATTTGAGTATTAAAGAAAGAGACAAAGAAAGAAAAAGAAAGAAAGAAAGAAAAACAACAAGAACAAAGGGTGAAGCAGATAAAGTATAGTAAGACAAGTACACAAAACTAAAGTTTGAATTGCATTCAACGTAATGTAAAGGTGTCAAACTCAAGGCCCAGGGGCCAGATCTGACCTGCCACATGTGGCCTGCGACAGCAAATCAAACATGTCAAATTCCGTGACACTTGCTAAAACTCTATACCAAAATTTCAAATTCTCGGATGTAATAAATAAGATATTGTAAGCATTTTCTTGTCACCAAACCTCTCATTCCAATAACCTAAACAGGAGTTGAATAAACTGTTTTTCTTGACTTCTTTATAGAGTTTCGGTAACAGCAGCCTTCCAAGGGAAACGGTAGCTAAAATGTGGCCCGTGACAAAAATGGGTTTGACACCCCAGATGCAATGAGTCCTTACAAGACTTTAAAAGTTGCTTGCACTCTTTTAATCACCCCCGGAGAACTTGACTTTAGAAATAAAGTATCAATCAATCAATAGATTTTAATTTCTTAAAGTGGATATCCTACTTACATTTTGGTACTGCTACCACTGGGTAAACATCCCAGAATTCTAACCCAAAAATATACTGCAGGCACCTCTCCAGGTCTTAAGTTAGACCCCAGAGGTATATTTGGAGACAAGCTGCTTCAGGCTCAATACCATGAGTGCCGCTGATATGCTGCAGTTCATGACCCCTCTTGCTATTGCCAAAAATAAGGCCTGTCATTAATTAAAGCTAATTTTATCTTGTGTTTGCATTAGTGCTAGCGCGAATATGTGTGTGTTTCTTTTTATGAGGCTCTGCACATCTGGCCATGTATGGTATAAGTGTGTGTGTCGAAGAGGATGTTTACATGTGGCAGTGGATGCATGTGTAAAACAACCATTTTGAGCACTTTTATGCTATTTGAGAAGCTTTTTTTATGGGGTTGCACTTGACAACGTGAAGTTATTTACGCCCAGGTTGAATCATTAAAAATGCAAAATGGCAATCTTCCAATCAATTGGAACACAAAAACACCTGTGGATAATCAAGGATGAGGAAAATTTAATCTATGTCTATACTCTCAGTAACCCCCTTTTTTTAATAAAATGAAAAAAAAAAAACATCCTTGTCATTAGCCTCCAAATAGACAAAATGATGACACTTTGACCTGGCCTTCCCTGTAGTAGTTTTAAAGTCTCACAGAAATAGAACTCAATTAACAAAAACTGTCCAGCGTTTAGTGCGACTTGAAGTAGACTATCCTCAGTTTCCTGATTTTTTTTTCTATTCCTCCCTTCCAAGAAATCTAGAGAACATCGGGTTTTTTTAGAACATCCAAAATTGCTTGCAAATAATGATCAAACCATGAATGAAATCTAAACAAAGACCTTGGCAATGGTGTAGCCCCGACTGCTGAATGGGCTTCCTTGTAATGAGTGTGCATCAGTAGGTGTGTATGTGTGCGTTGCTGTGTAAATGCTTGTGTGGTCCGGCCAGCTGGCATGCAAGGACAGCTCGTCATTTACACATTATTTACAGACACACAGTTTACAACAAAAACAAAACAAATTAACATCCACCTAAACTCTCCAGGCGGTTCCTCATTAGGCGCCATGGATTTCTTGACGAGCTGGACTTGGACTGTATGTTTATTAGGAGTCAGAAGTTGCTTGGGATTGACGAAAATAAGCCTCGAAAGCAAACATTGGAGAACGAATAACAAATACAGATTTTCCATTGCACAGCATTGGCTCAGCTCGCTCAGCTCCAGTTGTCTGTTTTCCACTTTCAAATACTAATAAAGAAAATGCAAAAATCACAATGCATCTAATGCATCAGTCAGAAAGTTAAAGTATCCAGTGTGGATATAAATACCTTGGGGGGGGGGGGGCTAAAGTGTTGATCTCCCGTCACAGCACCTCTTTATGTCAAGCCATAGTGTGTTCAGCAGATGACAGAAGAAAATGGCCTCAGCGCTCAAATACTTTTGGAAGGGAGTGCAATATGAAAATGATTTGGAACACATGACTATGCTTATCAGTGACTCAGGTATTGAACACAAGCACACCTTTGCTGAACTTCTGCCAAAATCAAAGACATTCCAGTGCAGGGATTACAGCCTCTGTCTACCCTTTGATTTGATTGCTTCCAATTGAAAAGTGTACTTAAAACTGACCTCTGACCTTGACAGTGCAATGATCCCAATGCTGCTGGATCATATTGGAAAAAGAGACTGTGGTGTGGTGGTTCTAACCATCGGTAAGGTGATTGCATCTGGTTTAACTGAACTGATTTAAATTGAGAACAGCATCTTTAGTGCACCTACATTGCCTTCAAGGTGAATGTGCTGATACCTGCTTATAGCTCCAAATGTCTCTAGCTATAACATGGCAAGGTGATAAGCTCTGAAGAGAGAAGCCAGAGGCTAAGTCTAGGATCATCACACATCTCCCCTATTTTAAGTAAAGCCCAATTAAAACTCTCTGAACTCATTTCTTACAGGGAGAGGAAGTGAATCAAAGTCTCACTTAAATAAGGATGAAACATGGGCGCAAGGATGAAATTGTCACCCGTCTTGGTGACACACTCTAAAATTGCTTTTGTTTCTGTCATTCACTTATTTGTACTTGTTCATATTAATTTCATCACTGCGAGCCCATTTTCACAAGTCACTGTCTCATTAAAATATCACAATCATTAATATAATGAATTGTTCATATTAGACATTTTATGCAAGTTGAGCCATTTACAGTTTTAATAAATTCAATGCTGCATAAAATTAGTTCGTATACAAGAATGCTGTTTTGTCTTTTGCAAACTTATCTATGGAAATGTCACACAATGGACTGTTTGGAAACTCAGTTAAAAATCATTTTGGTTAAACTGGTAATGAATTTTGCATGTAATTCAAGAGTAGCTTAACCAAAATCACGAGGCTCTGACCATCCTAATGTGTGATGTAAATTGTGGGCGATACTTCTCATCAAGGAGCACTGGGTAAGCGGGTGGAGCCTTTGGTCAGACAGACATCTTTGTAAATAGCTAACTGGAAATTATATTGTTGCGAATGTGCATTAAATAAGCATAGTACACAAACCTTTGTTTGACTAGATTATTTTGAAGGCACTTATCAAACACCACAGCACCACCCGGTCCACCACCACAAGGAAAATTTTCATCCGAGGGCAAACTGAATAAATATATGAAAAATAAACGTGGGGTATGAGTTGAAGCAACGTTTATTCTTGTGATTAAGCTGATCATACCACATTTTATGCCCAATTGATTCAGAAAAGTACGAAATTATAAAGGGTTCACGTATATCATGTCCCATCGTATTTTTTAATGCCACCATTACTTACTTAAGGCAATACTTCCACCAATCATAAATAATAGCTTATAGCTAGTTTCCGCCCCTCATTTGTGCCCAATAAAAACTCCCAGAGAGGAAAAGCCTTAAACTTAACCATGAATATAGAGGCCCAAGCTAAGGGCCCACATGAGTTTCTCAGCCCAATTGTTGGTCAAGGTTGCCTGTCCTGTCAACCTGTCCTTTTTTTTTTAAATCCATTTATATTTTAGTCCCCAGATTTCTTTAGCTCAGAAGAGAAACTAACAAGCTATTTGGGCAAATATTGAAGCACCGACAAGTGAAGTTTTCGTCACTTAAGTCATTCAAATGGAAGAAGAACAAATATTAGGGAAACAGTACCTGATTCACGAGGTAAAAACAAAGAAAAGAACGGTGAATTACCACTCAAATGATATCTCTTTTGCGATAACAACAGCCCTTTTTGTTGCTTTGGGATAACGCCTCTGCATGCACTGGAGGTTTTATTGTTATAAACTGAAAAAACAGCTCCAACTCAGCTGTGCAGCTGTGTCAACTTCTCTCTTTGTGTATATAATTGCAAAATGTGTTCATCTTACTCAACTTGCCTCCAGTTGATTGGACTGGACACAGCTGAACACTGGGCTGTTCAACTCTGCTCAGTCATCTTTGGAATGCACGGAACACATTTTTTCCATATCGGGTACTGGGTGTAAAAGTATGTGCGATACAGCAACCCCCCATTTCCCCTCCCTCGAGCTGCCGCAGATATAACACACACACACACACACACACACACACACACACACACACACACACACACACACATATAGGGACAACAAGGCATTATTCACCTTCAAGAACTGATCATGGAAGAAAATGAAGAGTCCCTTTGGGAAGGTCGTCTCGTTTTGTGTTCTATTCCAGTGAATGCAGACAAAAGAAGTTTATCCTGCAAACCAGACATTTGCGGTTCAGAAACAACAGTGACTACCCGACAAAGGAAAACAATACGAAGGCACTGTCACCTTGAGCTTACTTGCTAGGTGATGATTAATTTTAATGGAATGAAAAAGTGTCATCTTTTGAACTGGCAAATCATATTACCTTTCTGCCACTCTCGGTGGAAATTTGGGAAATCCTCACTCCATTGGCTTAAGATCATTGAGGGACTAGAGTACGCTGTGCTTGAAACGGGCAGTTTCCTAATCATTTAATGCCCATAGTCACTCAGTCTCAGTGTAACAATTCCATTGTAAGCCAGACAGTATTATGAGTTGTATTTGAGCTTGTCTTGTCAAGTTAGTTTTTGTTTTTACTCAACATTGCATAAGCACAGACAAGACTGGGGATGGATGTCTGTCGACGAATGCACTGTCATCACCTATATTTACACACACATGCAAATGCCTAAGTGGATGAAACTATACAATGAGCTACAGGTAACGTTGCTCTACCAAGAGGTAAATTTAAATTTTCCAGTTTTATCATTCATCCATCTTCTAATCCGCTGTTCCTTACAAGGGTCGCGTGCGTGCTGGAGCCTATCCCAGCTGTCTTCGGGCATTAGGCAGGGTACACCCTGAACTGGTTGCCAGCCAATCGTCGGGCATACACAAACAACCATTCACACTCACAATCACACCTAAGGAAAATTGAGAGCATTCAATCAACCTACCGAGCATGTTTTTGGGAATGTGGAAGGAAATTGGATTACCCAGAGAAAATCCACACAGGCATGGGGGAGAACATGCAACCTCCACGCAGGAAGGCTCGGGGCCGGATTCAAACCCACGACTACTGCGCTATGCGGCAGATGCGCTATCCAGTCTTCCACCGTGCCATCCGGTAGTATCATCTATTCAATCAAAATTACCGTATTTTCTGGACTATAAATCGCAGTTTTTTTCATAGTTTGGCCGGGGGTGCGACTTATACTCTGGAACGACTTATGTGTGAAATAATTAACACATTCTATCATTTGAGGTGTTATTTTCACATTAAACCACAAGATGTGGCTCTAGGCTTGTGTTGATGCTTTCCACATTGACAAAAAAAAAAAAAAAAAAAAACTACGATGACTGACGTCAGCGAAGTAGAAGAGGAAGCACCGCCTCTTCTACCTCCGAAGTTGGCAGAGTTGCTTAAAAGTGACACCGAGGATGATTTGGAGTGACACTGATGGTTTGGTAAACTTGTTAGCATGATCATTATGCTACAGTTATGTGAATAACTCTTAATATGTTACGCGAACATACCGGGCACATTCTCAGTTCATTGTTTTTGCGTCATGTAACGTTGTAGCATATCGTACTCTTATTCAGCCTGTTGTTTTATTTTTATTTGCCTTCAAAGATGACATGTCTGTTTTTGGTGTTGGATTTTATCACATAAATTTCCCCACAAAATGCGACTTATATACTCCAGTGTGACTTATGTATGTTTTTTTGTTCTTTATTATGCATTTTATGGTGGGTGCGACTTATACTCAGGAGCGACTTATAGTCCGGAAAATACGGTAGATGTCCAGCTGCTATTAGTACACAAAACAAGAATATGGTCCAAATAAAACCAGGACCTATGTTCTATGCAAAAACAAACTTTAAACTATGGATATATATATATATATATATATATATATATATATATATATATGTTGTACAGTATATTGATTTCCAAGGTCCAGTCCTGAAGAGTTCATTCATGAAAACATTTTGATAAGTTTAGATTTCTTTCGGGAAATTGATGAGATGGAAAAGGCCTCGACAGACTCACATCAACCCGAGTCCAGGCAACTAATTCCCACTATTAACCCACACATCACCAATTTGCCACACCACTAACTCCCTTTTCTCCAAAATCCTACCCCATTCCCCATGGTTGACCTCCTCCCCTAGCCCAAATCTTGCAGCTCTTTAGGCCAGAACACAAACATACCCTTAATTCAAAAAATGGCACAGATCCAAGTCAAAGTGTGCAGTCTTTTCTACAGCCCACTGAAATTAATGTACTGACCGTCCCACAACCCCAAGAGGGGGTAGGTCAATTATTGCAATGTTTATGTTTAAACTAGATCGACACTTCCAATGAAAATATTGGAGGGTGACTCTGGGAGTTATCCAAACTTTCTATAGCAACATGACCTGTAGGACCATGATAAATGGGTGATGAGACTACTGTACATGTGAACAGCTTAATTGCCTGTAATGTATTGTGTTCCTCTGATTACCATCAGTCGAAAGGGCCATCTTGAACACTGTACACAGTTTACAATGAACTTGATTGCATCACTTAAAAACTGTGCACACTACAGCTGAACATGCATGGCTCAATATGCATTTTACTGTAATGAGATGTGAAACTGAAATGAGACTTTTCATTCCAGTAATCAACATGTCAGCAGAGTGTGCGTTACAGACGAGTTTGCTGGTGCGAGTGTGGATGCATGTGTGTGGGCTGCCTGTTATTCGTTCTGCAATGCAACAGAGCAAGTTGAACAGAGCATCTCTGTATTCTGGTTTAATCAGCAGATTAGATGGCAGTCACTCCTCACTGGATGTGCTTGTTACACATGTTGATTAGTCATTAATTGGCAGCTTTCATTATTTGAGCGCAGCAGCGTAAAGTGGGGCTATAAGAGAGGGCCTGATGTCATGCCGGGGGAGGCTGAATAGCATCAGTCAATGAGAGAAAGGTCTTTTGGAATCCTAATTGGATGAGGATTTATGGAGAACCAGTCTTATGCAATGAGCAAAATGAGTACTTTGGCCTAGGGTGCAATACTGTAGTATTGTAAGATGGAGATATTGATGACCTCAAATGTTTAGCTGGCTTCCATTTATGTGCCCTTATTGACCCATGCACAAAAGGTTAAAATACAGTTCAATCTCCATTTTAGCATCATCCAAACTGCAAGTGGCACCATCAACACCAACAAGTCATTTTAACATTTGAAGTAAAAAAAAAAAAACATCTATATAGAGGCCAGAGATATGTGGCCAATATAAAGGAATGGGAACCGGATTCATTTTATGCTCTTATAAATGCTAAAAAAAAAAAAAACCACAAAAACAAGGACAGGCATACATCTGGTTCCGACGTACAATATTGTTCTCTCTCATCACCGGGTATGTATGGCAAGTACCGTATTTTTCACACTAAAAGGCGCACTGGATTATGTGGCGCACCTTGAATGAATGGCTTATTTTGTATTTTTTTTTCATATATTGGACGCACCGGATTATAAAACGCAATCTACAATGCATTCACTAGATGATAAATTCTGTAGGGGGGCTATAGAATTTATTTTGTGGTTTCCTTGATTTTCTGTTTTGATGCATTATTTTCAATTTTCTTAATTTCATTCAAGTAATCGTTAATTTACGTTTTTTCGGAGGCGGTCATGAACGCCTATCGAGTCGAACGGAAGAAGAGATGGCACGGAGACAGACAAAGTACGTACCTGTATTTGTTGAGACTGTGAAAACCATTAATAAAGTGTGCGTTTTAAAAAACCAAACCACAGCTCTCCTTTTTTCTGAGCTGCAACAAAAACTTATTGAATAAAGCAGCGACAGTTCACTGAACCAACAGCAAGTTATAACATTGACTCATTCACGTTGAACTCTCTTGCTGCTATTCTATTTCCGTGTTCTATTGCATGTCTCCAGCAAGGAGCCATTTTGGGGTCGACATATTACCGTAATGACCATACACAAGGCACACCGGATTTTAAGGCGCGCTGTGAGCTTTTAAGAAAATGGAAGACTTTTAGGTGCGCCTTTTAGTGAGGAAAATACGGTACAGTATTGTGCAAAAGGCTTGGACCACCCAGTTAGTTGGTATGGTAGCAAAGCTATGGTGACCTTTTTGAGTAGCTGTAAAAAGTTTACACACCCCATTTTAAATGCCTTGGTTAAATGCCAGGTTCCCCACCATTAATCTGATTTGTAGCCGATACAACTCAAACATGTTTTTAGAGAGGGGGAAGAAAAAAAAAGAGATAATGTGATTGCATAACAGTGCCCAACCTTTACAAGTGAGAATGTGGCTGTGTTTTTAAAATTAAAACAATCACATTGAAACTCATGTTAAATGTGAGTCAGGACACACCTGCCACAATTTAAAGCGCCTCTGATTAACTCCAAAAGAAGTTCTAATGTGAGCTTTTGCTGATATTTTATTTTACTTTCCAACAGAAGCCAGAAGGCTTTGAGCTAACACTGTTTGCTATTTGGAACTGCTAATAATTCTCTTCAGTTTGATAAAGGCCCCACTTCCAGCTGAAGCCAAACAGTCCCAAAGCATGATGCTGTCACCACCATGCTTCACTACAGGTGTCGTGTTCTTTTGGTGAGCAGAGTTGTGTTTGAGCCAAACATATGTACCTTTTTGAGTAATGGCCAAAAAGATCGACATTGGTTTGATTGAACTACAACACATTTTCCCACGTGCAATTGGGAGATTTCAATTGTTTTTTGCCAAAATGTAGCCTGTTTCAGATGTTTTTCTTAAAAGACAAGGCTTCCATCTTGACACCCTACCCAATAGCCCAGTCATAACAAGAGGATGTGAAACTGTTGTCACAAATACTAAACAGCCAGGACTTGCCAGAAAATCCTGAAACTCCTTCGATGTTGCTGTTGGCCTCTTGGTGGCGTTGACAAGTTTTCTTCTTGCCTTTTCACCAATTTTGTTTGGACGTCTGGCTGTTACTGGCTGTGCCATATACAGTGGTACCTCTACTTACGAATGTCTCTTCATATGAAATTTTCAAGTAACAAAACGCCTCAACAGAAAAATATTGCCTCTTGTTACGAAAGAAATTTCAAGATATGAAACCTAAAAATACAGTATGGGTTGCTACTTGCAGCTCTGAGTTTCCTGAATGCAACATACTTATAGCTGCTCTGCCACTGGCTACTACCGAGCATCATCCTGGCATACCATTGG